GGTGAAGTGCAAAAAAAAAATCTCTAACAAACAGAAATAAATAGGTAGAATAAAATTCAATCCTCCATCCCCTTCCCCCCAAAATCCACCAACCAAACAAGACCTAAGAAAAAAGATTGCAGACTAGGACGCTCCATTGCAGCAACAGCAGCGTCCCACTACTTCTGCAGCATTACTTGTGAGCTAGGTTGCACTACTTGCTGAGGTAGTCCATATTGGTCTTCATATAACATCTAACAAAACACTTGAATTAAATAACAGGCTGTTCTTAATAATCAGATTGAAACCCATGGAGTTTGATAGTAAAACAGCGCCCAAGTCTTTTAAAAGAACATCCTTTCTTGAATAGACCTTGGTTGTCCTTTAAAAGAAAAAGAGCAAAATCCAAGTCAGCATAAAAAGAAGAGGCAAGTTACATGGCCACGAATGTTAAATCAAACAACTGACCTTTTATCCAGTAAAGAGTTTGGTTGAAGACTTGAAGTTTATCTTTAGTTTGGTATTTAAATTGCACTATTTCATCTAGATGGGGTGGCTATTTGCAAAAGAACAACTCTGAGGTGTTAGAAAAGATCCTCAAAGCAGGATTTCATTTGAGAGTTAGAAAAAATCCCCTAGGTACTCTTTTCTTCCCCTATCATGTATCAGTGTATCTTAGAAGTAAATCTATGTCTAGCTTTACTTAGGATAAACGAAAACTAGGTGGTAAACGCTCTTGGTTAGCTCCTGTGTCCTGTATGTTGATGTATACATACAAAGATCCCATTACTTGGTGAATATTCTATGCAATATATGTTCAGATAGTAATATAACTCATTCTATTAGACACACTTCAGTATCAGTTCAGATGGAAGGTTTTGGATAGAAAACCCTTGAGACCATTCCATTACTTTAAAATCAAATCTCAAATGTGTATCAAGATATATAGACTTCAGCCCTCCGGAATTCTCCGGACTATCCAACCTGATCCTTAGGCTTACATCTGTCAAAAAGGACCAGAGCCAAAATGAAGAGTAATTAATTCACTTTAACCTATGGGGCTATAGCTTGCATTTCAACTTGGTGGCCTGATGCAATTGCTCAAAAATAAAAATAAAAATACGGATTAAAGAATAGAAGTAATCATACTTTAGTAAATGAAGGCCTCACTAAAAGTTCTGTCCAAATTCACAAGTACATACGGAGTATTAGACTATTAGCAGGCATTAAGAGTACTATGGACAAGGGTCCCAAGACACATTTCTCCGCTCACCATTATGACTATTGATAACAACTTCGTGCTTATGAAATTTTAACTCATGAAATAAGAGAAGGGGGGAGAGACAAATATTTACTCACCAAACGTTTGCAAGTTAAATTGTCAAAACAGCCTCCTCCATCTTGAAAAGGGTTCAGCTTTTACACCTAAACCCCAATATAGGCTTTTTGCAAGAGACGTTCTTTATCTCTAAATTCCATATCACAATAGCCACCAACCATCATAAGCACTTTAGGCTTACTGAAATAGTAGTAAGTGTAACAGAATGTCAGAAACTGAAAATAGAAGACTGTGATGTCAAATATTGCAGTTACATTATTCTAGATATACTACACAAGCTAAAAGCCTAAAACAAACATTCTTATTAGCTCTTACTCAAAAGACTGCTAGGAATATCAAAATGAAGTTACACAGAATATTTTAACAAAGCAACAAAATAACCTAAGATTATCATTAATGTAAAGACAGACATGGGAAAAACATTATATTAATAATAATAGCAAGAAAGGACAGCCAGACATATCCAAATGAAGAACTAAAGTTTACATTTTTTACCTAGACAAACTAAAAATATTATCATTTATCAGGAAAGACAACTAAAATGCTACGAAAACCATCAATCTTTTTGTTTAAATACACATGTACAACTCACTTTTAACAATTCAAACGGATGAAGAATACACTCACGTCAAGCATATGCCATACACCAATCTTAAGCTTACAATCAAATTGACCAAAGCAATCCCAATGAAATCCCAGTTTGTTGCAATCTCAAGCCCTGAAAGTGAATGACTATTGATGTCTGAGGCCTTTGACCGAGGGTCCTCCACACGTACACTTCCCATTGAAAATACCAAACAAGTTGTGCCCGGCTGTTGTTTATTAAAAGTGACAACCATAGAAAATCTGGTTAAACAATATCAGGGAAGTTGATAATTGAACTCAAAAGAAGCAGATATGTACCTCAGGGTTTGCTGTTTGGGGCCATATTAAAAAATCTTCACCAACTCTGGATCACTTATTACATCGACTATGATCTTAAGGAAGGAAGTCCAAACTTAAATATGTTAAGGCAAGAAACCACGGAGGTCAAACATCCACCATAGTTCCCAACCCATCCAGAAACCAAAACCTCTGTAGCAGAACATATACTCCGTATATACTTGCCAAAAATCGGTGCAAGATCTGCACTGTACTCCTCTCCATCGGCAACTCAAAACTCCCATGTATTGAGTAAATCTCCTGTGAATATCCAATCTAAAATAAAAAAAAAACTGATATCAACGGCGCCGGTGAATCATATCCGGCGAAGAAACCCCACTATCAGTAAATACGACATTCCTGAACGCAACATATCCTTTAAGAAGAAACCTGTAATACAGCTTATGGAGGCAAATATGAAATGTGAAACTAAAATCCGGAAAAGTCCTTCAGCGGACTCGCCGGCGGTAATGCCGACAGAGCCGCCATAAAACACAAAGCTTCTCTTAGTGAGCGAGAGATTTACCTCCGTCGTATATACTTCTACAGCAGATTTTGCAATTAATGCTTCTGGACCTTTAGTGCAGCCAAGTGCAATTGAGTTGCTTCTTCCATTGATTCCCTATAATACACTCACGTCAAGCATATGCCATACACCATTCCGATTTCAAATATAATTGACAAAGAAACTGAGTGTTGTAAGTCTTTAAGTGGTTGTGACAACAATTGGGCTGAAATTAGGTGTCCATACATACACAAACATTAGAATATGAAAAGGTAAAGAAGCTGCTGGAACTTTAAAATGCAGCTTGCATGGAGATTGGAGAGTCGTAATGTTCAGAGCGGCAGACTGAGCATTAAATATAGATGTTGATATCATTCCAAATAAAATTGCAGTGAAAAAAAGTACATGTATGTATTGGTTGTAAAAGAATATGAAAGGGTCGAATATCATGCTTTGAGAAACGAAAAGCTTGAAATTAATTGCGGACTCTACGAAGTATGATATTAAATGTTCATATGGGAGGAGTTTTATAGAGAATATTACTTGGAAATTTATTGGGAGCCAAAATTATTTCCCCAAGCAATCTTTTGGCGGGAGCTTATGCCCCCAAGAAACATTTTAGTATTATATTAAGATAGATTTTGAGTATAAAATCAACCCAACACTGACTACACTAGGGGGATCACTAGGTCCCGCCCATCCAAGTCTGGTCAAGTACTCCTTAGTAATGAAACATAAATAAAGAACTACTTAAAACAATTTGAAGGGGAAGCTTCTAGAGGTAAAGTCTATATCAATTACACATACTTTAGATTTTATGATAAACATGAAGGATTCACCTAAAAAAGTATCATACTACGTATAATATTTCAATCATCTATAATTCACTTTAGAAGCATTCTATGTATCAAGATATACACTAAACTCTCAGAGTTGTCCCCTCAAAACCCCTCCATCCAAACAGACCTAGGCATTTTGTTTTTCTCAAAGCATTTGGCTTTTTGTGAACCTTTTACTATTAGAGTAAAATAAGAATAGTTTTTTTTTCTTGTCAAGAGTGGGCTCCGTCCCAGAATCCCAAACATCGAATTACATATCATTAAACAATGATGAATATGCCATGCAGATCATCTCAGATAGTCAAAGACTCAAGATTCCATTGCATAAATAACCAGAAACCAAGGAGGCAAAGAAGAAAGAGTGACAGCTTTGCTACTCGTGAAATACTAATGATCAAGCTGAACTGCTGAACTTGTCAAAAATATTTAATTGGACAGATTAAATAACCGGATAGAAAAGAAGATCCAAGAGATAGAACAAATCCAAGACAAACAATTAAACAGCTCTGTATTCATGAAATACTTATGATCAAACTGTATAAGATATCTCCCGCGTGAACTTGTGCCTAACATCTCTTAAAATCTGGCAATATAATCACACATCAGTTCATCACTGACGAGAAAGAAATTTAAAATGCCAGAATGATTATTGGGGGTGTAGATCTTAGAACCTCCTGATAACATTTGACTGTAGATGAATTTGGCGTTTGGCCATGACCAGATGCAGTAGCCTGAGGGGAAACATTCAATCTCCCGTGCTTGGGTATCTGAACAACTCAGTTTATTGTTCAACTCCTTCCCATTTTCATTCCCAATACAAAACCCACCAAGACACCATTATAGCCATTATTAGACGGCCCTACTATTAACGAAGTGTTTGCCAAAGTCAAAGAGACAATGATACAACATAGTATTTTTCTTCTTTTCTAAGTGTATTTAGATTTTAGGCACTATAACAACTTGCTAAAGCCTACCAATAATCTCTACAAGAACATGTACCCAATCTAAAATGATGGAAATAATTGGGGTCTCGGGAGGATGATATGGCGTTGGAACACTTTAGAAATAAACTTCATTGCAGTATGGCAATCCCCACAAACCCTTAGGTTCTTGTATACCCTAATCGCTGCTCCTTTCGGAAAATAAAGAAGCCCAAACGCGACAGCCAACTTCTCACTGTGGTAAGCTAGGTTCTGCTGCCTACTCTCTTCATTGATGTCATGAAGAGAACATTTCATGTCAGGAACATAACCAGCATCCTTGATCAAACTCAAAACACCATTCACCTTTAAGAAAATCTCATCTTCGGATGGGTTCTGTCCCCTGAGAGGAACTTATGCACCACGCTGTTCTTCTCGATCCATCTATAGCTTTAAGAAAAAAACTGGAGTAGGAGGCAGAGTAAATTTAGGGTTTTATTTATATGGATTTTTGAATTTACTAAAATGCCCATAACTTTGAGAACACAAGCTTCATTCGTTTAAACACAAGCTTCATTCGAATTGAAACACCACAGAGATACAAGCTTACTGAAACACCATACAAGTATTGTTTAACAGAGGACTACCCCTACCCCTAGAGAGTAGAGAACAGAGACACAAGCTTCATTCGTTTAATCAGTATTTTTTTTTATCGACAATCAACAGAGACACAAGCTTACTGAAACACCATACAAGTATTGATTAACAGTGGACTACCCCTACCCCTACACTGAGGCCCAACTCCCCTTCTTCAGCATGCCCATCTCCGGCGGAATCCCCAAAATCAGTTCAGCATCCTTAATGAATTTATAGAATTGGTGTCTGAGATCATCGGCAGCCGCAGGACCTCCCACAAGAGATTGATGAACGAGGTGAGTAAAAGTGTTTAGGAGCGCACGGTGGGAGCTACTCATTCTCTTATTGGCTCTAAACTCAATGTATTTAGTAATCCATTGTTCATAGATTGTTACGATGCCAATTGCAACCGTATACAGCTTGTCGTACTTAGCGAATTCATCATACCATGCGCGGGGAGAGTCAAGTGATATGCAAGAGGTCTGGTACATCAAATACAACATCTCGGCAACACTGAGCAACGCCATTGTAATCCAAATCTCAATTTCCTTCTTGTATACTCTCATGTCCGTCATTGACTTCATGTACTTCCACATAATTAAGCCTCCAAAGTTGAATAGATTGTGGATGGTGACTGCCACAAAATAGGTCCATCTATCAGCTGTCATCCCATCCACCACAATACTCATCACTCCTGTAGCACACCAAAGGGACATAATTAGCATTGAAAAGGTGAAATGCTTGGTGCTCCATAGGTGAAAGAGCCCTCCGACCAGAGAAAATGATGTTGTGAGAATTATAGCCCCGCCCATTTCTCCAAGTTCAGAAGTTCAGAGCACAATTTAAGTTCAGAAGTTCAGAGCACAATTTCTAGTGCTCTTATTTAAAGGCATGGTTGTTGCGCTGCTTCCAGATAGTTCCACTTGGCGCCAAACTATAACAAATTCGATCGTTGATATTTCTGATCTGAATTTATCAAGTTCTGATCTGATCTGATCTGAATTTTTCTGATCTGATCTGAATCTTTCTGATCTGATCTGAATCTTTCTGATCTGATCTGAATCTTTCTGATCTGATCTGAATCTTTCTGATCTGATCTGATCTGAATCCTTCTGATCTGATCTGAATCCTTCTTATCTGATCTGAATCTTTCTGATCAGATCTGATTTAAGTATTTGTATGATTAAAATTATAACGATTATGATTATTATAATAATAATTACAATTTAAAAATAATTATAAATATAATAATAATTATAAAAATTTATAATTGTATTTATAATAAAAATTGTAATTAAAATTAACAATAATTATACATATTACATGAATTATATTTATAGCTATAATTATAATTGTAATTATATTTTTAATTATAAATATTTCTATAATAATAATTTTACTTATATATATAATATTTATTTATAAAATTATAGTTATAATAGGATTTATTATTGTTAAGTATAAGTATAATTATAATTATAATTATAATTATAATTATAATTATAATTATGATTATAATTATAATTTTGATTATGATTGTGATTATAAATATGATTATAATTACAATTATAATTATACTCCGTAATAATAATTATAAATATAAGTATAAATATAATTATATTTATACTTATATTGATCAATATAATTATTATTATAATTATAATTATAATGTAATTATATTTATAATTCTAATTATAAATATAATTACTAAGAATAATAATAATGATAATAATGATGATAATGATGATGATAATAATAATTATTATTATATTAATAATAAGAATAATAATTATTATTATTATATTAATAATAATTAATTATTATTATTATTATTACTATTATAATAATAAAAGTAATAAATCATGTTTGAACTTTTTTGATCTGAGTGTTTCTGATCTGATCTGAATGTTTCTGATCTGATCTAAATGTTTCTGATCTGATCTGAATGCTTCTGATCTGATCTGAATGTTTCTGATCTGATCTGATCTGATCTGAATGTTTCTGATCTGATCTGATCTGAATCTTTCTGATCTGATCTGAATGCTGCTGATCTGATCTGATCTGAATTTTTCTGATCTGATCTGAATAAAATAAGAATAAGCAATAAGTAATAATAATAATAAGACCAAGAGAACATCACCTTATTCAAAATTACATATCATTGCTCACTCCAATTTCCAACGTCTCCAACTCCAACATTAAACTTCAAACAAAATATCTGCTACGGAGTATGTTGTACATGGAACAGTTAGTTCATTTTATATTATAAACCAAGACCCTGAACCTTTACAGAGTGGGTCTAGTACAAGTTTTCCAATTAAGGTTCAATGAATCAGAATCAAATAACTAGGCAGAGATTCACATAACTAAATTTGTGTTTATAAAATAACAACGCCAAATTGTAACTATTATATATCTGGTCTAACATTTTACTTGATAATAACACTTAATTTATATGTTAGACAAAACTCTATCATATATAGATTACTATTACAATATACTATCGTACTTATCACATTCATTTGAGACACACAGAAACGTATGACATATAAATATAATTTTTGGAAGGTCTCGTTAATGAGTGACGAGGCACACCGCGTAGGTGTAAGGTTAGGGTGAGAATCCAACACGGGTAACTAAAGGAGTGTTTGCTAAAAAATAAAAATAAATGATTTTCACCTTTTGGGTTAAAAAAAGTTGAGAAAAAGTGATTTCAAATATTAGATTCTTTTTAAATAAGCACTTAAAGCTATAAGTAGGTGGGATGATGTTTTAAACTATTTTTCACTTTTTCTATCACGCAAAACATGCATTTATTTTATCAAACACTGCCAACTTTAACTATTTCAGAATCATTTTTTCTCACATTTCAGCTTTTCCTATTATACATTTTTTCTAAAATTACTTTAAAATCACTTTTTTTAAGTAAAAGTAATCGTTCGTTCAAAAAAAAGAGTAAAAGTAATCGTAAGGCTCCCTAAGAGTGAGTGGGTGATGCCATGAAGTGATTTCAAGTCAAATATGGTGGTGTCATCCTTAACAAATACCCAACATCCCATTCTAATTTGAATGTATATTTCACATGTTCATTTGCTATGACTTTCATGCTCAATTCCAGGATTTCCAGCCATCCTATTAATTAATTCAAGGACTTTGATATGCTACTCATTTTTTTTCTCTATGTGTGTGTATTTGTGTGTTGCATACTTGCATTATACTTCGTATGTACCAATTGACCATGTATGTATGCATTTATATGTACGGAGTATGATGTATGCGTGTATGCATAATTTGTACTCCCATAAAATTTGGTCAAATAGACTTTGAACAATATGGCAAATTAAAGAGCATATAGTTTGATTTTCACGATTAGTGTGAAATCAATATCAAATCGAAAAGAAAAACGTACGATACCGAGGAGTAACATAAGCATATACTACAGTACGTGGATGTATATGAACATTAAATGGATATAAACAGTAAATGGATATAATAGCACACAAACCCAAGTTGTTAATTGTATTTTAGTCGAGTAAAGACTAAAACTACAGTGGATTTGAAAACTAATTTTTACTTGCAATTTAAATGTTTATGGAACTTTGAACTCATATATGTATATAAGAGTTTTAAAAATGTGTGCTGAATTGAAGTGGCAATGAAAGGAATAGGGAATTGAAGCGATTGACGATACAAAGTGTCAATAATCGTTAGGGCGTGACAGTAAAAAAACAAATGATAGTTATAACAACTCAAATAGGTAATCATAAATATGAACTTAAATTAATTACTACTGTATATAAAAGATTATATCTTTGAAAATAATAGGGTGCCGATATAGACAAATGCTAGTATGGTTACGACAGGAATTTCCGAATTTGATCGTGGAAGCTCGTACGTAGCGAGTGTGTTGGAGGGTATCCGATACTAGCTCGCGGAAAATACAAATTGAAGTATTATTTGATTCAGATGGTCTGCAAATTGAGCTGTTTATGCATTATCAGGGTAGTTATTATTTTAAAGCCGCATTGTAATGATTCTTGTACAACTCCCACAGATCATTTTGTAATAAAGAATTGTCATAAAACCGAATTGGTGGGAATCGACATGAAAATATGGGAAATTCCTGAAAAAGGAATAAAAATGTTCGAAAATTCTAAAATAGAATTGACATATTTTATTCCCTAAATAAGAATAATCAGGCCAACTTTAGAAATTACTAAAAGGTTTGAAGTGTTGTAGGCCAAAACATGAGAGTACCGTGAGCAGAATTTTGTCGTATTTGGTCAGGGAAGATAGATAAAAGAAAGTGAGTGGGAACTACATAAATATCTAGAGGGGATAATTATTTTATTTTTAAAGATACGTATGTCATGTTGGGGTTGTTATCCAAGGGGACCCCACCCTTATCTTATTAATACTGTCAGTCCATTATGGAGGAATACAGCCAAAATATTATAACTAATCTCTCTCGCACCTCTCTTCTCCCCCGTTCCCTCTTTATCTATTTTCTGCCATATCTTTGTTACGCGATCGTTCTCCGAATGATCAGATTGGAGTAAATCCTTTCAGAAATAATAGGGGTATAACTGTGATCATCACATTTGGTATCAGAGACTACGTGATCCAGGCAGATGGCTGAGGGTACACGTTTGAAGGATTGCTTGGAGGGGCAAAAGAAGCTGGAACAAACGATCATGGCGGAGGTACTAAGAAGAGAGGCAGCTGATCAGAAGCACTGTGAAATACAGCAGAAACAACAGGAAGTTCAGATGGAAATCCTTAAGCAACTTAGTCAGATTCAGATGAGGCTGGACACCATAGAAAACCGATCTGATCCTGATATACCTCATCCAGATGCAAGAGAACCATCTTCATCTGAGTTCGGATCCATTCTAGGACCTCCTCCTTTTCCCAAAACACCAATGAATCTGCACAAGGAGCAAATGATAACAATTGGTAAGCAAAATGATACTTCAGTCAGTTATCATCCTCATGTTTCAACCCCTAGACTCGATTTTCCCAGGTTTGATGGAACACAACCTAGAGCGTGGGCAGTTAAATGCCAATGATATTTTAGACTTATGCCACAGATTTTACCTGAACAGAGAGTAGTTTTAGCTACTATGCACTTTGAGGGGAAGGCTTTAACATGGTTTCAACATTTAGAAAATGATTTGACCAAATTAACCTGGGAACAATTTATGGGGGTGGTCTCTGCAAGGTTTGAAGGGTTGAGGAAATCTGTGGTTATTGAAGAGTTCAACAAATTAAGAATGGGGTCTGATTTTGAAGCATATGTAGAAAGGTTTGATGAACTAAAGTCCTGCTTGTTAATGATGCATGAAGGAGCATTTAGTGAGCAATATTTTATTTCTAGTTTTATCAGTGGCCTCAGTGATGAGCTGAAAGCATTTGTGAGAATGTTCAGTCCAACTATACTAGATTCTACTGTTGAATTAGTGAGAAATCAGTTGAAGACCATTGAAGCCTTAACCAAGAGGATAAAGGGGACAGGCAGATCCCAGTTCTCACCTATTGTCCCACCCAAGAAAGAGGGAGATAGTAATTGGAATAAACCAAGTCCCTTACCAAATAATCCACCTTTCAAATTACTTACTCAGAGAGAGATGGCATCAAGAAGAGAGAAGGGACTTTGTTATAACTGTGATGAAGTTTTCACCCCGGGTCACAGATGTAAACACAGGCAGGCATACCTCATCATAACTGAAGAAGAAGGAACAAAGGAATTGTCTCAGGAATTAGAACTAAAAACAGATGATGTGGAAGACGTTTTGTTGGTAACCATTGGGGCTGCCCAGGGTAAACAGGTACCCACAACCATGATGCTCCAGGGCCAGGTGGGTAAACATAAAATAAACATCCTAATTGACTCCGGAGCGTCATTAAGCTTCATTAGCTCCAAGGCTGCACACGGATTAGGATGTGTGAAGGAACCTGTCAAACCTGTACACGTTACAATAGCCAATGGATCAAAATTGGAGAGCAATGCAATGGTGACTAAATTTAAGTGGAATATGTAGCAACATCAATTCAATTATGACTTCAGGATTCTACCATCTACAGATTTTGATCTAATATTGGGAGGGGACTGGTTGAGGGCATTAACTCCTATTGAATTAGATTACAACAAAATGGTAGTTACTGTCACCTGTGATGGCCACAAAATTCCTATTCAATGTGATGACAAGTGTAAGGCTATCTCCTACCACAGTCTCTATAAGATGATTTGTCAAGAATTTCCTAGTCCAGTTGAGGAGTTATACTGGGTGAAGGTAAAAGACACTAATGCTGGAGAATCTGTGGGATTGGAGAATCTGTTAGGAGAATTCGAGGATGTTTTTGAAGAACCCAAATCACTACCCCCTTCCAGAGGAATTGAACACCACATATTATTAAAGCCAGGAAGTGTTCCTAAGCAACAATACCCATATAGAGCTTCACATTCCCCGAAAGATGAGATTGAGAAAATTGTGGAGGAGTTGCTGAGATCGGGTGAAATCCAACCAAGCAAAAGTCCCTTTTCTTCTCCAGTATTATTGGTGAAAAAGAAGGATGGAACATGGAGAATGTGTGTGGATTATAGGTATTTGAATAGCCTTACTATTAAGCATGATTACCCCATACCAGTGATTGATGATTTGTTGGATGAGTTAAGAGGTGCACAATTTTTTTCAAAAATTGATTTGCGTTCTGGTTATTTCCAAATTCTAATGGCACCTGAACATAGACATCTCACAGCTTTTAGAACTCATAACGGCCATTATGAATTCTTGGTAATGCCCTTTGGGTTGTGCAATGCTCCAGCCACCTTTCAATCCTTGATGAACCAAGTATTTAAAAAGTTACTTAGGAAATCTGTGTTGGTTTTTTTTGACGATATCCTAGTTTACAGCACTTCTTGGGAGCAACATGTACAACATTTCAGGGCAGTCTTCTTACTGTTAAGGGAGAATCAGTTATATGCAAAAAAGGAGCAAATGCCATTTTGGTCAAGAATCAATCTCATACCTGGGCCACATTATTAATAGAGAAGGAGTATCAACTGACCCTGAGAAGGTTGAAACCATGGTCAGCTGGCCCACCCCTACGAATCCTAAAGAATTAAGAGGATTTTTAGGTCTTACAGGCTATTATAGGAAGTTCGTAAGAGGGTATGGTATAATTAGCAGGCCACTTACTACATTGCTTAAGAAGGGGGATTTTCACTGGGGAGATGCTGCTGAACAAGCCTTTAAGGAGCTTAAAATTGCTATGACTACCACCCCAGTATTGGCCCTACCAGATTTC